AAGTTGCTTTCATACTTTAAAATTTGGCTTTTATCTAGTCTGGAAGAATTTTGCACTAAACCTGGGTGTAAGTCACTCACTGGTGAGATGGTTATCTTCTGCTGTTGCAGGAAGTGGTTTTATTTTACTTTTTTTTTATTGCTTTCTTTCTTGCTATCTTTATGAGCTGTGGGAGATTAACCCAAATGCTATCGACATGTGACCTAGTTGTTTTCCGTTTTTTGAAACAGTTAAAACTGTTGCTGGTTGATGGCAGTTTCAGATGAAATGGTGACGTCCGTGTGGCTGTAGGTAAGTAGCCTTAAATTTGTCTTAATGCAGTTCAGAAAACCTGTTGCTAAAGATTTTTAAAATTATCATAATTACATGTATTTTGTATGCACTTAATATTGCTTATGTTATTTACGCAATTATTTCTATTAACATTTGTGAATTTGAAAGCAATGAACATAAAAGTAGAGGGTACAGATGTGGAACAATGTTTTAAAGGCAACATTAGTATTCAGAATCTAGCAAATCTGCTGCATCCTGTGCAAGAGGCAACTGTATCTGACCCTCTCTAGTATCTCAAACCATTAATGTCTTCTCATATCCCTGCTGGTATTAACTAGCTGTCCTCAGAAGGTAATAAAGGCAGGTGGCACTGGCTGGGAAATGAGATTAGATCACTTTTCCTAACATTTGCCTTTGCCAGTTGCAGTTCAGCACTGTTTGATTAACTGGCTTCCTTCCCTGCTGGTTACCACGAGAAAGGTGATTAGGAGAAGCGGATACTATAAGAGTTAGTGAGTAGGAAGAGTAGGTATCTATTTGATACTCAGTATCACTAGAGACTGAAGATATTGACACAGAGGTCTCTTCCCTCGTCTATGTCAAAAAGTTTTGTACCACTTTATTATTCATCAGTGGTGCTAATAGCAATCAGACATGGGGTGTCATAAATGACATTGTACAAAAAACATCCTTGTTTTGTCTGTGGGTACTCTCAGTGTGTTCCTCGTGGAGCTGTTCAAAGGAGATATGGTAGCATGGTTCCTGCATAAGGCTGCTCATTTCCACACAAATTCTTCCTATCCTTCAGAGCTGGCCAGCAAAAGGTTGGTTCCAGAGTTCTTATCTTACTCAAAGCTTTCTATCAGAAAAGATCACTTTGCATTGCTGTCAGTGGGCAAACACTGCTTTCTGGCCTTCAGAGCTTTACAAGGAAATACTAATTAAGGAAGATGTTCAAATAGCACAATACAATGCTTTGATTATGTGCCACATAAAGGAAAACCAGAATTAGCAATATTTGTTTTATGGTGAAGATTTGTTTCCCTGGTAATGTGTAGTTTGCTGCAAACTTTGTGACATGTACTCATGTTTGTAACTGATAGCCTTATCGTAAGAAGGAACTTATTTTTCTTTTGGAAATATGGGTCAGAGTTGAAAGACATCACACGTGGCTGGAAGCTCATTTTGAAATCATGCATACTAATTGGAAACAGATTTTAGTGTAGTGTTGTAAGAGTACATTTCAAAATTTCTGTAATTTTTGGAGAAGAAAAAGCTGTCCTGCCTGCATACACAAATCACACAGACAGGGAAATTATGTAAAAAGAACATGTTCTCTTTCTGGGCTGTTTCTGTAGTCGTTTTTATGTTATTGCTGCAATGTCTTAGAGTAATTTGAAATGCATTTTCCACAAAGCTGTGAGATTTGGTAAAGTAGTTTGAATTCTTAGAGTTATTTTTCTTTATTTCTCCCTTCCCTGCAATTTACCCCTTTGTGTCCAAAGGAAATTCGTTTAAACCCGGCATCTCTCATTCACTGTATCCCTCAATCCAATTACATCTGTAACGTACATTTGTTCATTTTCTTTTCCAAATAGAGCGAACAGCTGAAGCTCTCTCTTTATTTTAAAGCTCCTGCTGTACACTATTATTGAATTATAAAAATCTTTGCCTTTTTGGCAGCATTTGTTGCAGAAATTTCCTTTTGCTTTGATACAAGAGATACCCTAGCTTGGAAGAGATACTCAATTTTTTTTTCTGATCCAAGTATGATTGTGTGACCCTTTCACCAGGGCTGGGATTGCCAGGGTAGCAACGACGAGGTCTGTATCAGACCATGGTCTCGTGCGTGTTCCTCCCTACCTAGAGCAAGGCAGGAACCAGAAACTAAAATGGTGACAGAGACACATTTAGATTTTTTTCGCAGTTTTTTGGTGGCATAACACTTACAATCTCAGACGTGGTGCTAGGTTAACTAAAACAGCTGTACACAGTTCTGGTTTGGATTTCTCTATCTAGTTCTGGCCCCAGAAATTATTGCTTCTTTGCAATGACAAGCTTCAGGTAAGGCTCTAGAAAGTAGTACTCCATGCAAGTGAGATGAAGCACCCATCATGACGTCTGGTGCTGGAGTGAGGATGACTTTTACTATGCTGCTCAGAGGCTTCAGTCTGGTTCTCTGCTAAGCAGTCCCACAGTCTTTGCACAGTGTGGACTGCTTTACTATGGCCTGTTTCATATGTGGCTTAGTGGGTTATAGGCAGCATCTTCTGAATTTTTTTATGCTCACGATGTGTAATTCTGATACTTGCCTATTTTTCATGACTTTTTTTTTTTTTTTAATGCCTTTGTGCTGTGTCAGCTCAGTGTGAACTGCTAACCATTTAATGAGTTCTTAAAGCCTGCATGCCGCGAGAAACTCTCTCTTGATATTGGGGAAGCCTGTTAGTGCTCAGGTGTGTTTTTAATTAAAAACCTGAAGCATGGCATTTTTTAAGGAATGTATTTAATTGTGTTTAGGTGTTGTTTGACCTGATCTCTTAAAGACAAAACACAGCAGCACTTGAGCTCTAGCTAAAGTCTCTACGCTACACTTTTCTCATAAGACATGAGTAAATCAAACCTATTTCTCAATGCTACAAAGACAGAAGTTGATATTGATGGATATCATTCTATGAAGATGCTTTGATCATTCTTCTGGATTCACTCTTGGTAACATTAGTCCTGAAGAAAACAGATGGGATAAAATTTTGACCCAGCTTTTGACTGTGTATCTATCTTCCATGATAATTCAAGTGTCATTCAGAGCACAACAGCAGATTTCTTTATCTGGATACACAACTTGCACAAAACTGTCTCTTTTTCCACTTACTAGTGCTTGTAACAGCTTTTGTCACCATCAAACTACTTGCTGTAATGTCTTCTTAGAGTAAACTGAAATCCCTGCTGCCTTCAGCTTGCTCACAACAGCATGCAGCCCTGTTGAATGTGCATTTGGGAACCTATGTACTTGGTCTAGGTCAGGAGGCATTGGTGTTACCTCTTCCTGAAACCTTCTTACAAGGTTGGTCTGCTTCAGCCAGTGATCTCAGTGAATTTAAATTTCACCGACCCCTCTCTTATTGACATCTGAAGGACAGAGGTGGTTGTTTCTTTGCTGTGCTGGATGTTAAGATTGTGCCTTAATGCACTTGACATGCCTCTGTCAATCTTCCCTGTTTTGAGAAATACTATAAAAAAGTTGCTTTGGAGACTCTCTACAAAACAAACAGTACTAGCTTCTCATTTGCAGAGGGACTTCCTCAATGCAGATCTATTTAAGAATGAGACCTTAAATAGACCTCTGTAGACTTCCATCATCTTTACTATAACTTGAAACACCTTGGGGCACAAAATTCCAGGTTGACTGAAATAGGAGTAAAAGAAATGCTATTGGATCTTTCCTTTTTTTTTTTTTTTTTTTTTTTGTTTAAGGAAAGCTGTCTGAATGAGAAAAGCAGGCATTAATTTTCTGGGCAGAGACATTTAGATGTTGCAAACTGATCATAGGGCAAATCTAATTCATGTTAGAACTCAGTCTGTGGATGCAGCCAGGTCATGCTAGAGCAGATTTTCAGTGCCTTATTGGCTCATGCTGAAAATCTCTAGAAGTGTTGTGGTCCGCATGTGTAAAGTGAGTCCTCTTTACCAGCAATTAAGAACCCAGAATTCATAGATGCTTGAAAATTTTGGCCTTTTTTTCTTAATTTCTCTATATTTCCACTCAGTTAACATAAGAAAGAAGTGTTTTGGAAATTGAGTAGGAAAGATATGAGAGGATTAAACAGATACTGGTATTCAAATTAGCTTCTAAATTTCTAGGGGTATATATAAGTTACACAGTAAAATACTAACTCAATAGTGCACAGATACCTACTGAAGGATGTCCAATAAATTAACTAAGCAAGTTTGATATTGCTATGGTTAGTGGTTCAAGGTTGTTGAAGACACAATACAACACTTCCTACCATTTGAGATTGACAGGTATTAAATCATTCACTTGTAGTTAAGCCAGGTGTTGTGGGTTTGTACTGTGGTTTTTCATAAATATTTCTTCCAAAGCCTGTGCCTGATATACTAAACAGGCACAGAACTCACATAAATGAACTTAAAGTGACTTCTGATTCCTTATCCAAGACATACACCATTTTTCAGCACAATTGAAACGTGATAAGAGGGGAGGGAGAGACAAAGATGAAGAAAAAACAGAAGTGAATGTGGCTTAGAGCTGAAGAGATGTGCTTTAACTATGTGCTTGTTCTCTGTTTCTTAATTCTTTTCCTGCCGCACCCTGAGCAAAGCCACCGCTGTATTTGGTACTGAACCAGATATCAAAGCTCCTCCTAGGCAAGCCATAGTGCTTAGCACCTGAACTTGTTTGCTGCTCAGGATGTTACTAAATTCTCTTCCTTTGTGGTTGAGGAAGGAAATGACACAGGTATTTTATGAAGACAATTGAAGCTCTGGAGTTCTGTCTCCAAGAGAGTCTACTCCATGGCTGGCTTGCTGGGTGTCAGGATACTCTCAGTATTTCTGGTGTTTCCACTGCAGCTGAGTAAGCACCTGCTGCTGGGCTGGCCTGATGTCTGCCTGGGACAGTGGAGTTGGAGGAGCTGAGTGGTCCATGGTAGGGGAAAGGAACCAACACTTGGAAGTGTGTCCCACTGGTTGGGGGATCCCTAGCCTACATGGCGATTCTGGCCAGAGCCAAATTCCCACACATAGTGCAGGAGAGCCTTATGGTAATACCATGGACATCCACAGCAAACACCAACAGAACACTCCATGGGCTCGTTCAGACAAAATGCATTTCTAGTGAATGTCTTTGCCACAAATGAGTCAACATTTTCCACTAGAAAGGTGTTACATCAGATTTGCCAACGGGCCAAGCTGCTCTGATACATGCCACCTTTTGTGTTTTGGGCTGAGTAGTGCTGAGGCCTGATCTAGAAAGATTAATATTTCTATTATCAGAAATACATTGCATGCTTGGTTACTTTATTAGCAAAAAAAGCAAATTATAGTAAGCAGTAGTCATGAGTATTCAAATTCTTATGATGATTTTTGGACTAAGTGGTGGCATTAATCCATCCATTCTTCTTGGAGGGGCAAAGGAAGGAAAAACAGCCCAAGTTAAAACATGTCACTACTTCCTTGTGCAAAGGCAAGGAGTGCCCCTAGCCTTAGCGGAGACTTAGAGAAAGTCAACCCTTTCTTTAATTTGCTTTGGACAGTGTACCGCTGGCTCTGAATTGAGTAGTATGCAGCCATACAGGCCTGAGACATTCAGAATTGCTACACAGAGATTTTAATGGGAAAAATTTTCTATTTTTAATTTTCATCTAAATTTTGGATCTTTTTATAAAAGCTTTCCTAGAATGTGAGTAAGTGACGGAATATATTAAAATGTGGAGCAAAAATAGTGTGAAATGAGAGAATGAAAAATGTTAAATGCAGAGATTTCTTATCAGACTTGTATCATGCACCAAGATATAGATGTTTCGGGAATAATGTTGATGTGCTGTAGTGAGTTTTTAACTCAGGTATGTAGGACTGCAAAGGCTCACTTGAGCAGAGTGCACTTTCCTCCAGCAAGGGATCTGAGGAGTCTATCAGCTCTGCATGTTACCACACTATCTAATAAACTCACAGCCAACAGAAAATGCAATGCTTGTTAAGTATTTTTGCTCTTAGTCATGCTGAGGGCAGATGACTCTTCTTACCATGACTGTTGGTTTTCACATGCAGATCTGGTACTGCTGTATTCCTGCCGTCATTGTTACTGGCTGCTCCTACCAAGTGCAGCAAATCTGTGGTAGGACTCATGGCACAGGTGGGCTCTGCTCTCCTGGCCCATAGAAAGTATGCATATAAGGTTTCTGGAGTCATGTTGAACCACCTTAATGAAATAAATATTTCATTGATCCTTTACAAAACAACATACATTTGCAGTAAAAATTTTAGATATAATTAACAGAGCCTATGCTCAAACTTCTTGCATAATGAAAAAATACATATTTTTGACACCACAATACCCTTGGTATTTCACCTTTGCAGAAAGCAGACATCTTAGCTACAAAATGTGATATCAGATACTATCACATAAACCATATCACATAAAGCCTTTGTCTTCTCCCCACTTTGTGGTGTGGTGCTGAGGAGCAGCACAGTGGGGCAGGCACTCCTGCCGCCTTGTGTTCTGCTCTGGGCCATTGCACAGGTGGCTAGTGAAGAAAGCAAACCAGGGGCTTGCTTGATGCAAGCCTCAAAGAATTTCCCATTCTAGTTCCTGCTGTACCTTAAAAGTTTTCTCCTAAATTTGTAGGTGCTGGCTCTGCTGTGTTTCACAGCAGTGCCTCTTATAAGAGCAGAACCCGGAGCTCTGCAAAGGAAAGTGGAGATGGAGTGTGGGAACACATTAAAAGTGTCTGGAGCTTTTTTTTCCCCCCTCAGATGGGAAGTGGGAGCAGTGAGAAGAAGTAAGGCAGCAGCTGTAGGATCACAGCACAAAAACTGCTGCAGATATCTATGGAGGAAGGTTGAGAGAGGATAGGAGAGACTGTTTCATGTGCACAGCAAAGGGAATTTGAACATTATCCTGGGGAACAAGCGGGAGGGGGTATTATTGTCTGAATGAGGGACAAGCCTCTTGTAGATGCTCTTGAGGCAGGAAGAAATAGTTTTATTATGTTTTAGAGAAAATAGTTTTATTATAACTTTATTTTTTAATTTGTTTTTAAAATCTGAGAAGCTTTAAAGCCTTTCCTATTCAATAATCTCAGCATCTCATCTTTACAGACAGGTAGGATGATGGGTATATGGAACTGCAAAATGGATTAAGACAAGGCAAATATGCATTTTAACTACTAAGATAAAGGACTCTAAGATACTTGAAGAGGTTAAAACAACAGCCACTCTTTCACTAAACACAGTTCAGTAGGGCATTTTTTCGAGTGAAGGAGATGCTGCTGCTGCAGGGACTAAGGGCCAGGAAGCAATCTAAGACATGATTTACAACTGCCCCAAGTGTTCAGTAGTGCACAACTGATTTAGAGCGATAAAAATTGGGTATAGTCTTACTCAGTGATGAAAATGATGTGCTTCCTCCCCCATGGATCAGCCAGCGGAACATGTGCCTGAATGTGGTGAAGGTCACAAATATGCTGTAACATCCTGCCCGAGTTAGCTTTGTGATAGCTTGTTTATATAGCTGCTGTCAAATTGAAACCAAAATTTCTGTCGGCAAAGCTCTGAAATTGAGAACTTATAGGAAGTTTCTTTCTTTGCCTATTTGCAGCAATCTTTCAGGCGTTTAAAAAATATTTTTCTAATACATCAGTTTGTCATGTGGTACTAATTCTTCTACTTCTCCAGAGAGTTTGGGCTGTTCCAAAATTAACATCACCACATGTCTAGTTCAGGTAAGCATGGAAAGTTTGGATGAATATCTGAATCTCTGTGAGGAGAAGTTCTGCAAAATTGAGCTGGAAGTATTTCAAGCAGTCTTACTTTGAAATTTCTGTCACTTCTGCTTCTGCTTGTGTCTGTAAATACTGCAAGAATAACCTTTCCCATAGTATCTCATCACTTCAGATCTGGCAACATTAAAAGTAACAACACTTTTCTGAACATTTAGTCTATAGGAACAGATTTCTTTCAAGTACCGGAGAAAATTTGTGATTCTTATGTGATCTTCCTAGAGAAAACATTGGATTTTTTTTTATTCAGAATTAGACAGCTTTAAACTAAAAAGTTACCATTTGACAAGCATCATATGCAGGTGCAAAATGAGTTTAGAGCTGGCTAGTCTTACTTGTGGTGGTTGAAAAGCCATGACTCTACTCTGTACTCATCTGCAGTATGTAAATGTATAGCAAAAAGGAAGGAGGTAGAAGGAAATTACCTTTTCCTCATGTGTCAGGTAAGGTCAGGTCAGGAGTAACCAAGCATTTCCCTCTAGGACTTCTCAGGTCTTATCTGGTGTTGGATCAATTAAATTGTTATGAACTTTTATGATGCTGTAAACTACTTGCTGCCATTGGTCTAATATCTAAACCATACTCCTACCCAGTGTTGTAGGATGCATTAGAAGTGTTATGTATAAGATGATAGTCATGGTTTGTTTTTTTAATACTGTGCATATATGACTAAGATTCATCATTTGAAGGATTGTAGTCTAGCTTCCACAGCATAGAAAATGGAGGCAGGTGTCGCAGATCAGATGCACTCCAGAAAGAAATGAAATGCATTGCCAGCAGTAAGACCTAGAAGTAGCAATTTTTCCCAGGCATGTTCTTCTACATATTCAACTGAATTTCTACTATGGACGACTGTTCCCAGAGCATATGCAGGCCAAACTGTACACAAAGGATACTTTTAGCTTCAAGTTCCACTTGAATGTGAGATATTAAATCGACATAGGAGTGGTGAACAGTATGGGATAGTGTTATACTATCCTATATGATATATTGAAACAGACAAACTTTTGAAACAGGTGTTACCACATGTGATATAATTAAGAAACTATGTGATGAAAGAAGAGACATAACCATATGCAGTCACCTGCTGAGTTGAAGACACTAGGCTCTTTTACCCTACTGCATCTTTTTGTTGTTTCCAGTAATATCCTAGTGATATTTCCTAGCAAGCTTTTCTTGTGTAAGGAAGTCCTGTAGACAGCAGGTCATAGAGGATTACAAAATTAGAGTTGGATCTGTAGTCATTAAATATGGATGTGAAGAGTTTGTTGTATCTGTGCAACTTCAGAATGGTAACTGTCTCCCATTCTCTTTTTCTAATTCTTTGGCCATTTGAAAACATTTTAAGATACAGCACATCTCTGCCCTATAGGATACAAGACACTTAACCAGATTCCTGTTTTTCTTTGTCATTTGATCTTGCTATTTTTAAAGGTTCGTGTATAGCAGGAAACAGACCCTGATGCGTTCAGCTATGATCTTCTACAAAATTTCAGAATGACACAAAGGACAACTTCAGGTCCCTGCCTAAAACCTCATTGATAGCCATTGCCAGTATAGCACAGCTATTTAAATTTCCTGTCTTCATGTCTCTATTCATCCAATCCATGAGACAAATCAAGCAACAATTTGTAAAGATTAATAGTATTTCCACTGGAACTGTATATTTGGTTAAGCATTTTGCTGACATCTGCTAGAAAGTGGGACTCAATATCAGTCTTCTATTATTTTATCCTTTTAATATTTTTGTTGTGTAAAATACAAAAAAAAAAAAAAAGACAAAAACCTTCTGTCAATCTTCATATCAGTAAGCCACTCATATTTTTAGTGCTGTGACCAATGGGCAGGAAATCACTGAAGCATCAATCTATGGCAGTCACTAAGTTATTGTGAAGCATAGACTTCACACTCCTGCAAAGCTGTGACATACTGTAAGTAGAGATTCGGATATTCCTAATATGTGTGGTAACTATCAGAAATAAGAAATTAAGTACTGTGTTTTAACAATTTAATTCTCAAGAACTCAGTTATGAAAACAACCTTAAAGTATATTCTTAGACCCAAAATAAAACAACGTAGTTACTGTTGTACCGTGGTGCAAGTCTGTGTCCTTCCTTCTTGCAGCTCATTGCAAAGTGTATTTCCATACCTGGCTCTGTAATACTTTAGCTTTCCTCCTTGGGTGTGCTTGATGTTATTTCTGGTTTTCTGTAATTCCATCAACTACAGTGGGTTCACTGTGAACCTGAGATCAGGGTCAGGCC